ACCGCTTTACCCTTACAATGGACTCTTGGATGAAAGCTCGGGTTTTTGCGCTCTTCTGGTTTATCCTGGCATTCGGTTTCGCCATCGAAGCGACTGAAACAACTCAACAAGACAGCTGTGCCCGAAGCATCAAGACATTAACAGCAAAGATGGATAAACTTCAGGCCGATATCAAGGCGATTGCTCATGGACTGGGTCTCTTGAATCCAAGTGGTACAGTATCGCATCCTTCATGTTTTAAAGCTTTGTGTTATCTGAACTGATACACGAGTGATGGCAAAACAGGTACCAAGCTTTCAGGGCTTTATTCGCTTTACTTTAATCAATTTGACACAGATTCTTGTTGCAATTTCTCACACAGGCTTATCCTACACCTCTTGTAGAGATATTTACCGAAACCAGAAGTAAGTAATTGATTAAATAAATTCTGTGCATCTTTCAAGGCTTTTAGGCGCAACCTTTCGTTTTAAAACTTTCATGATCAGTTGTTTCTAACTAAACTGTTTCCAAAGCAGAGTCGAAATGTTAAACTACTGCGAATTTCCGGAACCTTCACGGCGCCTTTCTAGAGCGAAGAAAATATCAAATATCACGTGGTTTTTTTTATGACCTAAGTCACGTGACAAAATGTCTCAGTACAGTTGTTGTTTGACCTTTCTTGTTTTATTCAATGGACTTATCCCTGGGCTAAGTTTTCGATATTTACCGTATTTGATTCATGCATTAGGTCTCGAGGAAATAAGGCTTATACCCTCCAGACTGACGTTGGAAAAGTTCCTGTCTACTGTCACATGACGAGTATTGAAGGATGCGGAGGTGGGGGGTGGACGCTGGTCATGAAAATTGACGGCCACAAGGTAATAAATACACCAAAGGCATATTATAGAAACGCGATCTGGTGACCTTGTCATACATCTGTTAGTAAACAGGTGTTCCTACGGAATGATTGCCAGAAATCATGAAGTGGCAAAGAGTGCCTTGCATACAGCTGGCGCGCCGGAAATTTGAATTGACCAATCAGGATTCAGTAGGCGGGAAAACTTTACTGTCCCGACGTCAATGTAAGTTAACAGACTGCCGCTCGTACTGCGGGCGCAGGCACCGTATGCAAGGTGATGAAAATATGTTTAGAACGTTCATTGAATGAGAGATCGAAGGGGGTCAAGAAGTAACCAAAAATAAAAGAGATCAGACTTAGACTACGAGTAGTCCCTCGAGTCGCTTAGTCCGTCGTGCGTGATGCGAAAGAAAACCGCGAGAAAAAAGTGGCTGCGCAAACTTTTGGGGCTGAGCTCACCCCCAGGATTTCACTCGGCCATTTTTTCCTCGCCGTTTATTTACGGTCACGCCCGACGGACTAAGCGACTTGAGAGACTACTCGTAGTCTAAGATAAGAAAAACTGACAGAACAATGATATATAATCCTGAGCTAATTGCTAATTTGACAAGCAGTGTTTTACTACTTTCTTTCCTAGTCAACCTTCCACTACGATTCTGACTACTGGACCAGCAASACCGAGTTCAACCGGCGAGGAGGGCAGACTGGGTTCGACTTTGACGAAACCAAGTTACCAACCTACTGGAATACGCCATTTTCTCAGATTTGTGTGGGCATGAAGATTGGTCATCAGATCAAGTTCACCCGTATCAGCGTGA